AAGTTCATCAAGAAAAGGGTGGGGACACACATCCGCGCCAAGAGGAAGCGAGAATAACTCAGCAATGTCCTGGCCGCCATGAGGAAGGCAGCTGCCAAGAAGGACTGAATGTGCCCCACTGTCCCCCAAAGCCCATCTGATGTATTAAAGTGTAACCAACAACAACAACAACAAAAGCATACACACACACACACACAAATACACCAATTTTATCTCTGCTTATCTCTAATTAAGGAGGCTTTTATATCTCATTATCTCATTTTATATACAGATATACTGTAATTAGCAGATCAAAACAAGAGGGGGGGAAATTAGGTTAAAAATAGAAGGTTTAGGGCAAGGACCAGTCAGATATGATTTGACGGTACACACACAAAAAGTAATAAAATAGGGGGGCGGGAGGGGGGAGGGGTTTGTGCAGGGAGAAGGGTGCAACAATGAATGAATGGAATTCCAAAATCTCTGTAGATGTTCTTGAAATGAAAAATAAACAACCTAAATTTAAAAAAAGTAATAAAATAAAATTTAAAAATAAGAAAAAAATTATAGAAGACACTTCTGTTGTAGAATTTTTACCATCATCTATTATGAGAATATAAAAATCTTCAACAGCTTCTGTTTCCACTTTATATGTTAGATTCAAAGAGGTTTGTTTCTTCCTAGCTGTTTTAGAAGACATACCTTTAGAAGAATCTAACTGTGTCTCAGAGGAGTCATTTCGATTGTCAAGTTCTTCCGGTTTCCCACTTCTCCTTTTTGGATTTTCTGGACAGTCATGCACTTTCTTTCTTTTTGATTTAGGATTCTCTGCTTCCACTCTTTTCCTTTTCATTTCTTTTTGAATGGCACTGGATTCTACTTGTGGACTTTCTATTTGGGGAATTATAGATATGCATGCATTTATTAATTAACAAAACCCAACTTTTAATATCCTATAATCTTAATTAGGGAGTTCTGATGGCTGAGCAGTAAGGAGATGTCCTGTCAACTCAGTGAAACACAATTTGAATCCACCAGCTGCTTCACCACAGAAAGATGAGCAATCTTCTCCCACGCTATTTACTGCCTCTGAAAACCTGGAGGGCCAGCTAGGAACCAGCTAGGGCCAGCTTTCAACTTGATGGCACACAATAATAATTTTAATTACAGATTTAAGATAGAATTAACCTTTGTTTCTAGTGGAATACAGGGTAAATTGCTCTGCCACTAATCATAGGGAAGTCAGTGGTTCAAACCAGTTGTTTTGCAGAAGACATGATGTGGGGGTCTATTCCCATAAAGGATACGGCTTTGGAAACCATGTCCTATAGGGTCACTATTAGCTGGAATTAACTCAGTAGCAAAAGTTTAGTTTTCCGGTCAACTCTTAATATCAGAATTCCTGAGTGGAGCAAATAGCTTCACTACTAACCAGAAAGTTGGTACACAAACCTCCCCAGAGGTGCCTCAGAAGACAGGCCTGGCTACCTGCTTCTAACAGGCATGTCACTGTTGTTGTGCCTTCGAGCTGGAACCAATCTCTAGCTGACCCACTAGTGGGTGTTTACAGGCTGTAAACTGCAGGGAGGTGATTACCCATCTTTCTCCCACAGAGTAGCTGGTGGATTCAAACTACCTGTCTTTGGGCTGGCAGTGTAGCTCCTTACCCACAAGGTCACCAGAGGTCCTTTCTGCCCATACAGGCTCATCATAAGTCAGAAGTGACTGAACAATAGCTAACAGTAACAATCTTAACATCATTTTAAAATCTACAATATACAATAACCTTATGACTATAAAATGCAAAGGAAATACTCATAATGTGGCATGCTGAAATCAAGCTGGCCATTTTGTTTAGATTGTCTTTCATATTGGTGATGTAAGTTACAATTTCTAGAACTTTCTTTAAATAAATGATTAATATATTTTTTTTAAATTAAAGCTGAAAAAAAAACCTAAATTCAAGTTGAGTGTAGGGGTTGGTATCTCAGCAAGCTGGCTAGAGGCAACAGTGACAGAAGATGCTTTTTAATTTTAGGATTCTCCCTGCCAGTTGTAAACTAGGTTGTGCCTATAGCAACAAGAAATAACAGTGTCTTTAGTGTCTGCAACACTGAAATTTTAACATAAATGATGATAATCATACCAACCTTGTTTACTAAGACATTCAGAAAGTACCAAATGCTCGGTTCGTTTTTTGAGAAGCAAAGGGAAATAATCTTTCAAAGAAAATTTAGGATTTGACCATCTAATCTCCTCCAGCAAAAGATTCCTTACTTCTTCAGTAAAAGCTTTCCTTGTCCCCATAACCTACAACAAAAATAAAATTCTTAATGAAAAATGTATATAACCTTTTACAGTTAATTTACAAGCCATTTTCTCATATAAATCAGTATTAAAGCAGGAGCAGCTTTCCTCAGTAAATACAACCTTGGGAGCAAAGCTGTATTTGCACAACTTTTGAAGCACTGAGCTCATACTTTTATTGTTCTCTTTTTCAACTTATTATACTTTATACATTAGATTCTAATGCAGGTTTATTAATATGATATATAATCTAATATTCCTTGGAAGCTGGAAATCACTAATGAATTCTGAAATTTTTTTAAAGTTCTATAAATATGTAAGAGATGTATACATCTATTAGAACACATTTTTAAAATCAGACTTGTGAAAATGAATTCTAGACTTCAATGAACACTACTTCAATGGTTAAGTTATCTAATACTTACTGGAGCACCAGGATGGTTGCTTTTTGAATTTGAATTCAGTGTTGAAAATTCACCAAGAGTAAGAGCACGTTTTGAGGAACCTACTATTTTAATACTCAGTTCTCTAAATTTCGTTAAAAGAGGACAAGAGGGAGGTGTCAAATGCCATAAATCACACCCTGAAGGAAAATAGAAAAATTATTTTAATTTCATGTATACACTGCTGGATGCTAAATATGTAAACATTGAAAGACTTGAAACAACTACACAGATACAAGACAGCATCAAAAACTCAAATGACTACACAGAGAAAAAAATACCTTTACATTCAACAAATACCAGTAATAAAAATTACCTAGCCTTCTCTCTTTAGTGTTAAAAGTGATAAAATATCAGCAAACTTTCTTTTCTTTTTTAATTCAATCTTTGATACTCAAGGTGAAAATTTTAGGCACACTTAGCATTCTGGTTAAACTTTGAAATCAGAGCGGCCTGGGTTCAAATCTAAGTTCCACTACTTTCTGCTTGCGTGATCATGAGCAGGATCCTAAATTTGTTTTGTCATGTGTAAAATGGATTGACAATTATAAAACGCAACCTCCTAAAGTCATTATGGGACTAAACTAAGTACAGGGAGCTCCGGCGACCTACTCAGTAGGGAGCTATGCTGCTAACCCAAAAAGCCAGGCAGGCCTCTGGTGCCTAACATTTGGTGTTACCTCTAGAAAAAGGAAACAGTTGCCTTTGGCTTCCTTGCTCATGCCCTTATCCTCAATAAGATGACTCACAGGCTGAAGAAGATGAAAAATACACTTGAAATTCCCACTATGAAAAAGCACTAAGAACTTTAGCCTCACCCAGTCCTTGGAGAGGGTAGAGGGCCAGTGCAGAAGAGGAAGACCCTGGATGAGATGGACTGACTGATTCAGTGACTGGGGTAATGGGTTGTAAGTGTGTGAGAGAGACAATAAGATTGGCTCAGGATAGAGCAGAGTTCAGAGCTGTTATACATAAGGTCACCGTGAGTCACAAGCAACTTGATGGCATTTAACAACAAGAAGTTTCATTTTACTTACAGCATTCAAAACTGATAAACTTACCTTCATCTTTTTGTTGAATATGAACAACTCTCTGGAAACTAGTACTTGCTGCATTATATGCATCCAGTGTAGCTGCTTTCCTTGCAATCTGTCTTTTCAACAAGTCTGGCAGACCGCTCATCAGAAACTCACGTTTTGCTTTACATTGCACATCACCATTCTGAGATTTTTCAGATAGAGCTTGACTTTTAAGAATTTGAAAACAGAAACAAAGGTCAGATAACAGTTAAAAGAATATACTGTCTACAAAGGAAGCAATTTTATATAACTGGAAAAATCCAATCCACTACCTCAATGTTAGCAGGCCAATTCCTTTTTGATATCACAAATATAAAGTGTTTAGAAACTGAATAAACATGTATATTGAAAAAAGATTAAGAGGCCATTCTTCACAAAGTTAATTGTGACTATATTTAGGCAAGATGTTTTGGGGTTATTTTTTTTTTAAATAAATAAAATTTTTATTTTATACTGGCTTACTTACAAGATAAGGATTTTTTTCCCCTCTTGTCTTGTCTGGCTTATCATCAGACTGCCAATCTTAAGAATTTTTATTCTAATGGCAGGAGGTGGCAGAAGGTGATACAAGACAGGGGAGATGGGGGAGGTGCAGGAGTCAGAACACAGAGTGGTGATGATGATGGATCCCATTGTACACTCTTTTCCTAGTCAGTCAGATAGAGTGTGAGAATTGTAACATTCTCTGTATGATTTGCATTGGTTACTAAAGAGACTGCAAAAGATGTCTAGTTTTCTTTCCTATTTGGGAGAAATGAGATCCAAAGTGAGACTGAACATCAGACAAAACTAATTTGATGGCAGTGAGTTTGGCTGGGTTTGGGTAGCAGCAGGTGGACTTTCATGACACAGGTACAAGGCAGCAAACCAAACAGTGAAATACAATCTTTAAAAAAAATACAAATCTCAAAACGCTGAGTATGCTAAGCAAATAAACTGACAGAGCACCTGCTCAACTATAAACTACTGTGGAGAGCAGCAATCAAGTTTCTCTCTGATGCAAAAGACATTTCTAAATATATGAATGAGGAAAGATATGGAGTTCCTGGAGTGAAACTGGAGGTCTACGTGTGAACCTATTGCTTTAAAATATATCACACAGAGAGAAATCGTTTCCAATGTGTGTATGCATACACACAACCATGTATTTCCTAGCTTTATCTGCTGAGAAAGCTTACAAGCTAAGGTTTATAGGCTCTTATTTCAAAAGCAATGACCAACAAGAACTTTGTCAAAGAAGCCAGTGCTCAGAACAAATGGCTGATTCCAGTGCTAGGCAAGGTAAAAACCACAGTGAGTCTGGAACATCTTACCATCCTAGTAAGCAAGAAAATGTCCAATGAGTGATGGAGACAGACTCAGAGATTCAAATGCCAAACGGAAGGTCTTCCACTGCATAAGTTAGGAATCTCTGAGACCATATTAAGAAGAGTAAGTTAAAAAAATAGCTAAATGAGCAAACTGAAAGTCTTCTAACAGTAGCTAACTAATGAATAAAGAAGGAATAACTGCAACAAAGACTCGCCATTTGGAAACCATCTGCGTAGTGGCTGATTTAGTTGGAGATCTTGGAAGGAAGAATGGTGAGGCTTTCTCATATACGCTGGGCATATTATCAAGAGGAGCTAGTCCCTGGGGAAGGATAGAACAGGTTAAGTTAAAGAAGTCTTTCACTCATATGTGATGTAGCAATGGACGTAAGCACAGCAGAGATTGTGAAGACAGTGCAGGCTCAGGTAGAGTTTCATTCTGTTGAACATGATATTTCTCCTATGAGCCAGAGCTGACTCAATAGCACCTAAGGACAGGCCAATGTTAAGGCTAGTAACAGGAAATTTGAAAACAAACTGGTTATTAGCGCTTTCTCAGAACACCTTTCCACAGAACACTACTCCACATCATTAGGAGAAAGGTGAATTTCAGGAGAATTCGGGGAGACATTAACATGTCACAGAGAGGCATATGATAACATCACTGGCAGTTGTTGTTTCTTGTTGTTTGCCATCAAGTCAAGCACAACTCATAGTCACCCTATGAACAAAAGGCCTGAAGCCTCACTGATAGTACAGGTCGACAGATGCCTCTTTATGAGACATACTGAGAAGAGTAGAGTGCCATTTCTATGATCTTGCCCACAGAACTGTGATCATACTCTAGCCTTGAGAAGACAGAGGTCCACGCTCTAGTATAAGGGATTACATTTTTAATAGAAATAGTCGAAGGCATGAGTGATAGTTTCTCTAGGGAATCTGGGTGAACGGGTTATGGAGTATTTTTTAATATTATGGAGATTTACATTTTTTACAGGAATTCATTTATTTCTCAAAATCTTCCATGGTACCTATCTTTAGGAACACAAGAATAATTCTAAGAACTATAAACCTAAATTAGAAATTGAAGAATTAGAAGAATAACTGAAAATAACAGTTCTGCTGGGTAAAGCAAACACAGTTAATCGTGTTATCAACCAAATGCTTAGTCATTTCTGGAGACATTCAGCAGCACGAGTGTTAAAATGTTCAGCTAATTTTTTAAAAAGTGTAGAAAGCCAAAGAGGATAACTAGGATGATCTACAATGGTTCTACTGCCAAGCTCTTAACCTTCTGACTACCAATCCACCAATATCTCTACTCTCCTCTAATCAACTGGAGAACAATCTAAATCTGGAGAACAACCACTTGGCCAACTGACTGGAAGAGATTGATATTTGTTCCTATCCCAAAGAAAGGTGACCCAACAGAAACTGGAAACCACAGAACAACCTCACTGATTTCACATGCAAGCAAGATTTTACTGAAGATTATTCAAAAACGACTGGAACAGCACATCAACAGAGAGCTACCAGAAGTCCAGGCTGCGTTTAGAAGGGGTCGTGGTACTAGAGATATTGTAGCTGATGTTAGATGGAT